TCTGCCCGCAACTCCTGTACCCTGTCTTTAACTTTCGCGAAAATGAAAATCGAACTGCAATCAGAGAGTTTTTATCGCCGTCAGATACAAGAGTTTCTTCTTAAAAGTGTTCAATTTTCAACCTTGTCAAATTCAGCTCACGAAATTACAGCACAATTACATGGACATGTGCAACGACTCAGAGAAATATAAAGATATAAAGATTGCTGCAAAGCAAAAAACCGGCCCCGACAATGACATTATATCGCAAAATCCAAAAGATGTCTAAAAGGCTAGCAGACAACTCAAGGTCTGATTTCTAGAGTTCGTAAAGGCTCAAGTTGAGTAGATAAGCAAAGCGGGTTCCAGGGCATAAATGCTACTCGGTTTTAAAGTTTGAGGTTATGTCAGGATTTCTGCCATGAAATCGGCTTTGCTTATCTACTTGAAAGTCATTGATATCACTATCGATAATTTTGACAGTTTAGAAAACTAAAACAAATAGATATTATCTACAAACTACTGACTTTATCGCCAAGTTAGTATATAGTAAAACGTACGGATTATACTCTACAGCATTGATAGGTTATTTTGTTCTGGTTGATTTGGTTATTTTAGCGCACTCTCGTCAACTTCTACACATGAAAAATTGTTCTTAAAAAGGCGGAACAAAACAAAACTGTAATGAACTTTTACTTGGAAGAATCAATTTAATTACAATTTCTAATAAAAATTCATTAACAAGGGGAAGATAAAAACAAATTTTATCCTTGAAAATACTACGAGAACACTAGAATATCCCGCAACGCAGAGGCCGTCCCCCGAGTCAGTGGCATTAAATTAAAAACGGGTAGAGTCAAATTAATTTGTTTCAGTGTTTCAGACACGGCATATAACGCTGCCCAAACTAAAAAGTTAATTACTCGGGCTAAATTAAAAGACTTTGGCGAGAGGTAAAAAAACGAAGGCAGCTTTCTTTTTCCGAAATGTTTCCGAACTTTCAATTAAACCGAGCCGACGGCGTGTTTTAATTTTCCCACCTGCACAAATAATCGGATCGACAAATACAAATTTAATACACCACGACGTTATTGATACAAATTACACAAAATTTTAATATAACCAAAGCTCAGTTTTGTTTAGTTGGATTTGCACTATCCTGGTAGTGTAAATATTTGAAAAAACAATATTTCCTTACAATTTCAACACGATGTATCACCATGTATAATAAACGCAGAATCGCGAATTGAAATATAATAATAATAAATACATTTATTGCTTTGCTAACTATATATATATTATTACATTACAAAATATTAGATGGTGCCACTAATAAAACGCAATTAATTAAGTAAAAAAAAAAGAATCAAATAAACAAAACTAAGTATGTTATGCAGAGTTTAGAATACATTAACCATTGAATACAGTTTTCAGTAAAGAGAGAAGTCGCAGGACAAAGGAAAAAGGTGGGGCTAAGGGTAAACAGCAGAGTGATGATGAAGTTTTGGTTGATATTGTTAAACCGAAAAGACTTAAATTCCTCTTAGTGTGTGCAATGCTGTACGAAAATAATCTTTTAAACATTTCTTTTTGATGTTGTGGTATTCTCAGTATACGTTTTTTTCTTACATTCAAGTCATGTTAAAAAGATATTCAGGAGATTTATACTTAAATAATTTAAAACAGAATGTAGCCAACCCGAAACAGCAACGTATGGAGAAATGGCGAATTCCATAAACAAGCAGCAAACATGGATTTTGTATTTTTTGGATACGATATTGCTCATCCACGCAGGTTGCGTTCACACCAGAGCAACGATTGAACTGTGACAAAACAATTGCACAAAGCAGTTTCTTTGTAACAATTGGAAGAAAAAATATATAAATATTTATTGACTAAATAAATAAGAACTAAAAGTTCAGATTTTCACGAAATTATATATTTTCACATATTTTCGACAACACCGTGTCTTTATCAAATGTAATAGTTACACTACCTGCTACTATATATACCGAAAAATGACAATAAAACCTTAATTGATGTTGTTATGAGAATTTAAGTTTAATAATGGGGAGGTATTTAAATCCAATTGATGTTTGAGTTACTGTTTTTAAGTGTGCAGCATAATTAGAATCAAGACTTTTGTTCTAAACACTCCTTTATGTTCTTTAATGCGTTTCTTGTAGGATCTACCTGTTTGTCCAATATAAATGTTAGGACAAGATCCGCATTCCAACCTGTAGACACCTGATTTTTGAGGTTTTGGAAATTTGGTTTTATTGCTTTTTAAAAATTTTCCTATTGCGTTGTTAGTTCTGAAAGCTATTTTAAAACCACATTTTGAAAAATGTTTTTTAACAATTCCTTCTTTAAATCAGTATTAATTGTAGGGTCAACCTGCGTCGTTTCATGATTTTGAATAGAAAAGTAAATTTTAGTGCCCTTAGCATATAGGAGATAATTACAATATTTTAAAGCCTTTACAAAGTTAGACGTATAGATTGCATAGAACAAGGGACCCAATATGCTACCTTGTGGTACACCTAATTCAACGGATAGTGGTTCGGAATCATTGTCGGAGAACACCTGTTGAAATTTATCGGATAAAAACGAATTTAAAAAGACGCGTGAATTTTCACTAAACCCAGTGTAGTGTAAAATTTAAATAAGCAATTTATGATTGATTGATCGTGACAAAAGCCTTGCTAAAGTCGAACGAACTTAGAATGGCAATTCTGCCTTCATCCGTTGTCTGAAGTAGATCCTCAGTAATATCCATCAAAGCACTCTCACAACTATCTTATTTAAACCGAGATCGTTTTGTAGGTATTGTATCAAAAACAGCAAAGAATTTTCTTATTTGCCTATCAATTATTTTTTCTAAAACTTTAGAAATAGTGGGAAGGATGCAATTGACATCAGTTGCTTAAATTCTTTGGCGTTCTTCACTTTAGGAAGCGGTGTGACCTATGCATGCTTCCAAGATTTTGGAAAATTAAATTATTATTATTATTATTAATGTTTAATTTATCATAGCCTATTGCTTTAAATTTAATATTGTTTATTATGTAAAATATTTCATCCTCTGTAGCCAATGTAGATAGACGTTTTCTAATTGATTGTTCTCATAAAAATTGATTAATTCCTGATCTGGTATTTTATTATTTTCGACAGAGTTTATTAAAAAATAATTCAGATCATTGGAATTTCGCAAATTATTTGGTAGAACATTTTCTTTGGGTTTGGTTATATTAAGTCTTTTTAACAATGACCACGTGTCCTTCGAATTTAAATTTTGAAATTTTTGACGTTTTTTGATGCTTTTTTTTTTCGCGGCGTATCGCTGATATGGAATAATTTTGGAGTTGTTTGTAATGTTGATAGTGAGCAGGAAGTTTTCTCGTTTTCTTAGTTTTTGCATCGATTTAATATTTTCCGTTATCCATGGAGCGTATGAATAATTTTTATTTTTTCTAAAACGTTTTGAAAATCCTCATAAAGTATTTTGTTTAAGGCCCTGTAATAAAAATCGACTGACTTAATATTTGATTTATTGCAAAGTAATTTGACAAAAACCAAACAATGGTCTGAAATGTTTAAATCTAACTCACCGAAATAATACTGTTATACAAAAAATTTTGAAGATATTAAGTAGACATTCAGTTCTTAAAGAATTCAACTCCGACATATGTATGTTGAAGTCACCCAGACACAGTTTAACCCAAACATACTCAACAAAATGTAGACTATTTGCTAGGAATGCCCTGCATTTCAAGTGTTCCTTTACCGCCAAGGCTATTTAAACGGCCTTAATGGAAAAAGTTATATATATTCAGGCTCAATCCTCGATCATCCACTACTTGACCAAGCCACGTTACGCCTATCAGATCATAATCATTCTCTAATACATGCTGCTGAGTCGGTACACAATTCGAGGTCAGCCATCTAACAATAATATGTGCAAAATGTCAAAAGAAAAAGGGAATGAGAACGAAGCTAAAAGGATAATTAAAGAAAAAAAACTGACTAGTATCGAAAACGACTGAATAAAGTTTGGTAACCAAGCATGCTACCGTCTATATCATCGGATCTTTAAAAAAATACATATACATATACATATGTATATATGCATGCAACTTTGTTTACTACCTCAGAACGGGCAATTATGAAAAAAAAACACATAACACCCTGTGTAATTCAAAATGTAAACTATGCGATTATCTGTCTACATAAATTTTCGCGATAAACATTCAATTTCGGGCCAGGGCGTGGAGCGCAGTTTGCGAACAGATTTTTCAAAAACAAAAATGCGGCCGCGCAGAAATTGCCAAAGTTTCGTCATTTTTAATAAAGTACGGTCGAAAGTTTCCCAAAACAAAACCGGTGGGTTACGTCTCCGTTTCGCAGCCCGGGTATCCTAGACAGATGCACTTAAAACTTTCGAACAAAACTTATGGAATCTTAAAGGGGATTTTTATATCTCCAGTTTAAATTCATAGTTCTGTTTTGAGCGGGTTTCCGGTTTTTGATAACGAGCCTATAAAATTCAGGCACAACAAAACCTAAAAACAACTAAAACATTTGCTTGCGAAATCATTTACACCTAAAAATCCATTCCTAAAAGAGGTAAAATATTTTTAATTTCTCCTTAAGTACCAAAAACATCTCAAATAACGATCTTGAAAATAAGTTAGCTGAAGATTGACAGAAACGTAATCTTGCCCCATTAAGGAGACTTAAGAGCTGATGTTTAAGAAAATATTTAGCACCTTCAAAACAAAGTTGTTAAACGCAACCATTTTAAAACCATGGATCGACCTTGCGCTGGCATCAATTATTTATTTTCCTTTTGTCTGCAGAGAGAACGAAACGTTTTTAATTTTTATAAAGCAATATTAAAAGCGTTAAAAATTCATGCGAGTTCGGTTTGAAAATAATTATACGCGACAACTAATTAAAGACCACGCATCTGTAGAGTCATATAAAATCCCTTAACATCGATAATTCGTACCACTATTCCAATGGATATCCTTTACCACGTGGATCCAACCGATCCCTTCTACTACACATTAAAGTACCTCCAGTATTTCTGGTTTTTTCCTACAGCGAGTATTGAAAAACGAAAATTTTGGATCGTTTCTTCTACCTTCAGAATATTTTCCTCGGCTTGCGTCGTCACAACCATAGCTCACTTCATAGTCTCTCTCAAAAGTAAGTGAACATTTAAGATAGATAGTCTCGAACCATTATTTCCAGATCAAGTCCGTTCAGTTATCATAGACGACCTCATCGTCATTTGCGGCGGAATCTGTATCATCCGTCTGGACTGCCAATATTGGATCCATTGTTGGGATTGGTCTGCTCTTTATACTCGCGTCACTAGTCGACGACCATTTGGAGAACCTCCGACCTATCGTACTACCACACGCAGGATGAACAAATTGTCGTTACTATGGATCATTTTTTGCACCGCAGGAGTCTGCCTGAGTGTCACGATGACCATTTCCGACCGTGAATGCGGTCGCAGGAATAAACGTCAAGGTTTGCAGGAAATTTGTAACATGATAACTCCAACTTGGATACCATACAATGGTGAGTCATGGATAATAAAGGATTTTGTGATTTGGTGGTGTTTACAAAGATTCGTTGCTTTCAAACAGGAACACTGCCTTCGCCATTTAAACACGCATTCCTGGGGTTCCAAATCACCGGCTACGTCTCATATTTCCTAACCTCGGCGGTGCTAATTATAATGATATGGGAGGTGGCAGAGGTGATCTTGACTCGCGTGGACCACTTGAAAACTGTGGTTAGATCAATTTTTGACGAAAACGATGAACCAAGGACTCGAAAGGAAATCGTTTTCGCCATTAGGTACCACGTAGAGTTGCTAAGGTAACAATTCCTCACTAAACTTCAGACCTAGACGACTGGAGTTAGTTAGTTGGAAGTTGAATAAAATCAAATTAAAAAGATACTGCACTCAGATCGCCTACAGCGTTGTCCAAGAGCCTTGCGGACGACTCAAGTTCTGATTTCAGATTAAGCTCGGAGTTCAAGAAGGTTGTGAGCAAAAGCGCGAGTCATGTCACGTGTATGTCAGGCGTCGTCATCGCATGCGTAGCGACCCAAGGCTTAAAGGTTGCGCAGCCGTTAATAATTGATAGAGGACACGATACAGAGAATAGTTTAAATTTTTAATAATTTGATATTCAATGAGTAGATAAGCACAGCGGGTTCCGGAGCAAAAATCGTGAAATGGAACCAACTTTGCTTATCGATTTATCGACAACCTATCGACTTTATCGTCACCTCTAGAGATTAGCACGTCGTTCGGTGATACTTATTTTGCAGGAAATGAACGCCAGTCTGTTGTACGAATTGAGCGGGTGGCTCATATCTCTCTTCGTATTTTGCCACACCGGACAAAGACTTCGAGATTCGGTACGGATTCGGGTTAACTTATGCGTGAAACCTTAAATTATGTCCCCTTCCAGATGTTAAGTATCGGATCAGCGTTGCTTGACTCCAAGTGGCACCAGGCAGATACGCCCACATTGAAGAAGGTGTTGATGATGCTATCTAGGACTCGAAAACCCGTAACCCTGGATACCATTCCTACCGGATCTTTGGATTATGTGCTCTATCTAGGGGTAAAATGGATGATAGTCCAGGAGACTAAATAGTCACATGTTTAATATTGAATATTTCCTTTTTAGATAATCAAAGCGTCCTATTCTTACTGCACTTGGATCTACAGCCTGACGGAAACTACGCATTGAGCTGCGCGTAACAACTCCGACACTCTCTAAAAGCAATAAAGATAACTCATCGTTAACTCATCTCGTTTGTGGCCTAATAAACTTCCACAGATAGGCAGACCCATTTACGCTGCAACCTATTAGAGTTTGGGAAAAATTTATGCTCGGGAAAATTACTGCCCAAACAAATGCCGCTATCAATTATTTCGTGACGAATTTGCTCGCGCTCCGTTACGTTCGCGAGCTCATTCCGTCCGCCATATTGCGTTAAACTGCGTTAAAAGCGGTCGCAATTTAATATCGGTCGCGTCCCACTCTGTATAATACACCCACCTCCATTCTGGCGCACTCAATACGAATTTGGAGCAATTTGCCCTAAAAGCCCCTACGCCAAAGTAAATTAGCGGTATAGTTTGGTTCAAATTACACGGTTGGCGTTTCGGTGACCGTGAAAACCTTAATCCTCCCTCTGACCGTTAAACCGAAGGTGTCAAATATACCGCTCATGCTGACGCAATAGAAATGCATAGAATAGGAAAGAGTAAAGTCCTATTAGTCAAGGCATTTACTTATTTAGCAAGTGAAATGTTTCATCTAAAATGGCTCCATAAAATAAAATCTAAAATGTAAAGTCATCAATATAAACTGAAAACAAATGACAAACAAAAACAAACAAGCAGTGCGAGGATCGTATGCAACATGAATTGAGATTAACAAAAATTACTTGCAGATAACAAAAGGTTGTAAACCACTTACAATTCATCATTACTCAAATATTTACCTAAATATATTCCGATTTTTAAAGCGACAACGCTTATGATTAAGCGACAAAATGGCAGGAAGTTTGTGGTGGACAATTCATTATTTTGTTAAAATGTTAAAAGTACTTCTGCCACAACAACCATTATGATATCTCCCCGTGCGAACGAATGGCCCTCTGAAAATATGTGATATCTTAGCGGACTTTGTTACTGTTACAAGGATATTATTGAGCTTTAAAATCTGATATATGTGTTCGTTGGTGGCAAATTTTTCTACCACCACCAGACGGCAGCAGAGTTGGCAGCCTGTCATTGGTTTTAAGGAGATGACCCCTCTATGTATTAGTTATTACTTTATACGTAGTATACGCGCTTGGCAACTAAACTCATATCTCGAAAAAGGTGCGTCCTACAGCGTCGCTATTGGTACACATGGAATCGGCATCAAAAAAAGTTTTTATTTTTGTCTGTTCTCTGTTGTCTGTTCTCTGTCGACGCTCTAAAAATGCGAATAACTTCCTAGCGATTTGAGCATAATTTCGTAAGAATTTTTCGCCATTTTCCACTGTTTTTCGTACATAGCTATGAAACACGATAAGTGTCCGAAATTCAAAGCTATCGAGTTCAAACTGGGCACCGGTACAAAGTATAGTTAGTTTAGCTAGGGGGAGGGGGCTGGGCGGTCGAGAAAATTTTTAAAAACATTTAAAATTGCACACGTTTCACAAAAACGATTGCAAATGTCGAAACAAATTTTGAACTAAATCATTAAGAATAAGATTTTCTAAAAATTTACAGGTTGCATCGGCAATTTGCAAAAAACTAAAAAATAGGTAGCTCTTTTAAAGACAATTGGCTATAACTAGATATCCAAAATATTTCTATTAAATTCTAATTCTATTCTAAAAATTCTAATGCACAGGATATTTCGTGCTATATTATAAAATATGGTGTCTTAAATATGCAGCTATCAACTTTCGATTTGACATTTCAACCTGACAAGTTAGGTGCAATTAAAAGTCGTGAAGTATTTTTCAAAAATTTTTAAAATTTATTTATGCTTATAGAAAAAAATATTTTTCTCATAAACCATTTAGCCGTTTTACGGTTTTCGTCTATTTCATGCGCTGTTTGGGATATTTGAATAATCCAAATGAAAATCAAAATTTCTCGAACTCAATTTAGACGCGATGACGTGAAAGCTGGCGATCTTATGGCTTAATGGCTAATTTACTTCTGCTCTTCCTTCAGTTGATCTCTAGTTCCAAAGTGAAGACTGATGAATCTTTAATCAATTTTGTTGCAGGCAATGCAGGTACCACCAAAGCAGCTTTAATCAAATCTTAAAATGGGATATTTTGATCGACACTCATTAAGAAACGCCATTAGTTTTGTATTTTTGTTAAATGTGCGAAAAAAGAAGGAAAAAATGCCGCGGGCGGTGATCCTTCGTCGTCTCTTCGATCCAGACAAAATTGAATTTGCAAATGCCGTAATTTGAACACCCCTCCCACCCCTAAAGCGTGGCAAAAAAAATGGAAAATCTCTCCCGCGGGCGGCGCAGCTGATTAAAGAACATTTGCTTGGCTTTTTAAGGTAGAAAGGAAGACGGCGAACGAAATGGCAATTATAGAGGAGGAGGAAGTTGGTAACAAAAAGAATCTGGTCGTGACGGGGGTCTTAATTGTAAGATCAAAGCGATCTCGAAAATATCCATTAATTGAAACTAAAAAGCAATTTTTATTTAATAGAAAATCGTTATTGATAATATTATTCTTATGCTACTAACGCAGGGTGGCTGAGGATAACTCACATTTTGAAAATAAGAATAAGAGTCTAATGGTAACGAAAGTTCACACAAAATTAATAAAATTTTACACTTATTTTTCCAATACAGCCACTTAACAGACTGTAATTTACAATAATAAAATAATAAATAAATAAAAAAGGGAACAACTCTTATACCTAGCGTCATAGTAGAGCTTCAACCTTTACTTAGGCTTAGGCTTAGGCTTTATTTCGGAAGTTGGCTAACATCATCGCTATTTTAAGTTTTAAAAATGACTTGACACTCAGATTTCTGCGCCAGAATATTCTTCTCCTTCCAACATATATTTAGAACCTCTCATGATGTGGCTGATTCTTGTCAGAACCTCCACGTGCTACTTAGGCTACTTAGTAGTAAGTTATCTATACTCTCAATTAAAACTCTGGCTTTAATGAATGAATAATGTCATTATTATAATTATTATGATTTTATTTGATTAATGAGTGAAAATGATCATTATAATTATTATTATTTTAAATCATTTTTACTGTGCTAACTGGGTTTGCGTACGCTTACAATGTCGGTTGCATAACTATCCGACTTTTCGGTTACCCCTCGGATTTAAAATGTAAAAAAGGGAGAAAACGGAAAATCCGACAGTTCGGAGAAAATGGCGTTTCGACAGGTCGGTTCTGCGGAGCGTGTCCATTGTTAAAATCTAATATAACTAAGTTACTGAAGTCACGCAAGAAGGCTTTTAAAAACATCGTAAAATTTCGATGGTCTCTCTTTTTCAAGTGATTTTCATAAAGGCTGCCCTAAATTGGATATAAAGTAAAGGGATTTCATCAAATTTTCACCTTTACTTAAACTTATCGGGGATTTGCAACACGCTAACGCACCTCACTACAAACTCTTAACTTAACTTAATACACCCTGCCGAAATTATAGAAGAGCGAAATCTAAAACAATATTGATGACAAAGAACAATAAAATATATATGTATATAAAATATATAGCAGAAACCTCTCTTTAGAATCCTTTTGTTTTTGAGTTATCGATATTTATTTCCGAAATTATTTAGACACCCTCTCCAGATAGAGCAAAGAGCATTAAGAAATGAATTGGTCTCAGCTGTAAAACAGTACCCACTGTGGTGACCATTTCAGAAATTTCAAAATAATTTCCAGCGTTTTCCCCTTGAACTAATACCGTACCTTGTTACCTTACCACTGTATAATACACGATTTGTCATGAGGAAACAGTGTTTTTAAATTTGTTCTTACGAATTTGCAAATTCATCAAGCCAATTCATCAGTATCTGAATTAAGCACAATACTATCATTTTAATTTATACACAAAACACCTCGCTGTCACAGTAAAGTAAAATAATCTGTGGATTCTGAGACGCTGTAGTTTGTCTATGGGGCGTATGGTGGGGTCACTACACAAATTGTAATTATTATGATACCCAACTATGCAGTGATCAGATGCCCACAAACTGTCAGAAATATTTTGAAGAGATGTGATGGTCACAAGACACACCACTAAGTAGATGAATTCCTGTTGTGACGCTTCACTCGTGCCTAAAGAGACTCGTTAATAAAAGGTCTTCATTGCAAAATACATTTTTCTTTTTACAAAACTTCTGAATTTCTCCTGCGTCGGTTTTTAAGTCGAACTTGCTGATGTTTCGCCAATCATCCTGTCGGCTTCTTCAGAGCTTGACTGAAGAAACTGGCTCGTATTTTACTCTGTGCCTGGTTATATATTGTTTGAGGGGCGCGGAGCTAAATGAGCTGCATAAACACCGTCTCAGATGACTGATTCCCATATTGGTGACAGGTAGAGACCTGAGTCGCGGTTAAGATTGTTAGGTTGTCTATAGATTTCTATAGGCTCTCGGATTTTTCGTTGGTAGAAGAACTGATTACATGCAAGAATTTCAGTTCTATCTAATAAAATGTAATGTCCGGTTTCATGAGTGTGTTCGGCAACAGCTGATGAGTTTATTTGTCTTAGTCGTAAGGCTCTTTCTTGTTCTTGGAGCCCAGTTGATATTTTTCGTCCGGTCTCTCCAATGTATTCTTTGGTGCATATGCATGGAATGCTGTAAACTCCTGGCATCTCAAATTGAATTTTGTCTTTGACGGACCGAAGATGTAGAGAGATTTTTGGACAAGTGATAAATCTGGTTTTGACGTTATATTTCTTTAGAACTTTTGATATGTGGTCAGTAATGTTTTGAATGTAAGGAAGGACCACAGTGGCAAGTATAGGATTGCTTTCGGCCTCATTGCTATTGGAAGGTTGTGGTGTTAAAAAAAGATTAAAAGTGTTTCTTTCAAATACATCTTTATGTGCAATTGACATTATATAATTTTTTAACAATATGTTCTAGGTAAACAATAAACCTTTCGTGTCGAGGATGAAAATAACGGATGACCCAATCAGTTTCTAGTCCTCCGTTGGCGATTAAAACGAACGCTTCCGTTTTCATCTATCGGCTCGATAGCCCCGATCAAA